TTGTCACGGATGCAAACCGGCACGCCATTTTTTCCCAAGTTGCTCGGAGGTAAATAGCAAAGGATTTTCGGAGTTGACTAGCCAATCAGAGCGCGCCTTCAACGCTATCCACTGTTTTAGTATATACTAATCCTGTATAGCTGTGTATAGATATGTATAGTTGAGTATAGCTGTGTATAGTTATGTATAGCTTTGTATAGCTGTTTATAGCCATGGATAGCTATGTATAGCTCTTTAAAGTTGTTTTTAGACCTGTATAGCTCTGTATAACTCTGTATAGTCCTGTATACCTGTGTATAGCTCTGTGTAGCTGTGTATAGCCCTGTATAGCTGGGAATAGCCTTGTATAGCAGTGTATAGCTCTGTATAGCTGAGTACAGCTCTGTATAGCTCCGTATAGCCCCATATAGCTGTGTATAGTACTGTAAAACTGTGTAAAGCCCTGTTCAACTGTGTATAGCCCTTTATAACTATGTAGAGCTCTCTATAACTGTGTAGCTGTGTAATATTAGCCCTATATTGCTGAATATAGCTGTGTATAGCCCTGGTTAGCTGTGTGTATAGCCCTATATAGCTCTGTATAGCTCTGTATAGACCTGTATAGCTGTTGTATAGGCAGTCTATAGCCCTTTATAGCTTTCTATTGCTCTGTGTAGCTCTGTTAGCTATATATAACCCTGTATAGCTGTGTATAGCCCTGTATAGCTGTGTATAGCCCTGTATAACTGTATTTAGCCCCGTATGTTGTTAGGATATTATATGTCTGTGAAATCATAGTTAGTAGAGGTGAAATATGGGACATAACATGTATTGAGACATAATATTTCTCCGTACATGACATACCGACTAATTTTTTTGGGAAAAACAGCGGGACATTTCGAGAACTGCGGGCTCAACCTTGTTTAGGTGGTTGGGGGGGAGTGTTGTGTGACATCCAAAAAAGGCTGCGAAGCAGACTAGTCAGATAGTGGTCGCGGCTAATATCCAGCCATCTTGACCGAGCATGCTTGTTCAATATTGGATTTCTTATATAGCTAAAAGATCTCGCTTTAACTAGAATTAAGAATGACTTGAATATTTCGAGAGTCGGAAAAGAAAGCCAACTTTGTTTGTAACACAAACGACCCTTGTGGGTTTATTAAATTTTTTCTTTGTTTTGACTGTCTTCTGACGCTTTTTGCGACTTTATCGCCGACATTGTTCAACAGTTGCAAACTTTGCTAAAAATATATGAGAATCATATATTGAACTGCGGTTACAGAAACGTGTATGAGAACGATCTTCGCAGTGAGCAGCACTATTTAAGCAATAGTGAAATTAAGACCTGAAAAAAAATTTAGGCCTGTATTTTAGTATTTCTTAAATAGTGCTGCTCACTGCGAAGATCGTTCTCATATAAGATACAAACTTTGTGAGTCCGCTCCACGCATTTTTTTTTTTCTAGCGCGGGATAAGAGTAGGCAAGCCGAGATGAGCCCATCTCGCCCACTCAGGTATCCAATCAGAACACAGAGTTCCCTTCATGTGCCCCACGAGCACTGGTAGCAAGATAATAAGGAATCTTATTAAATAGCTGGCTGCACTCGTGGGCGATATGAAGCGAATCAAGTGCTCTGATTGGCTATTTTGGTTTTATTAACTGAATTGCTAATGTGAATTGGCCAACTTGAAGAATCTCAAAGCTGACGTTTCAAGTGTTAGCCTTCGTCCCAGCGAACGGAGGAGTTGTGGGTTATGTGTGTACTTTTATGTAGCAAATGGAGCAATGCTATAGTTGGGAACATGGTAACGAGAAAAACAAGAATAAAGTAGTTAAATGAAAAGCGTTCGTTGCAACCGCGGGAATTAAGAGTGCCGATTTGAAAGATGAACTTTTATTCTAAAGTTTTACGGCTCTCCAAACTGCCTAGATGTAAGGAAAAGCCGCAGACTGCCATATGCTGCGCAGAATGATTGGGCGGATTAGAATGTCTAGCGACTGGTTTGGATGCGTCCTTGTTGTTCCTTTCTACGTCGCAAAAGGTGTCCTCGGATCGGCCACCTTGTTGTCTTCCTGTTTCACCAATGTATATCTTTGTAAATAAGTGCAAGTTATGCAATAGATGGCATTGGCAGACGTGCACGTGAAGCGATCATTAATTTTAATGAATCGTTTGGGTCCCGATATCTCTCAACGTTATAGATAAAACTGGGACAAGTTTTGCGCCGTGCACGAGCGCATTTGAAAGTTTCAGGTTGGTCATTAGTTGATAGTGAACTTCTGACCAAAAAGTGGCCTGAAGACAATGGGGATGATGGACATGACTGTGACGGTAATGCTGATTAGGTAATTGACCAACATACTGTCCAGTAGGTGTTAAGTACTCTTGGCTTGGCTTGGCAAACGATACTGTGATAAACTCTGCCAAATTAAAGCAGTTGCCTCGTATTCAGTCTGATACTAGAAGTATATACACAATCTGATAATCTATCTCCATCTTGAACGATTATTTTAAACAGAACTATAAAAGAAGTGGAGGAATGCATGCTCAAAGAAGAAAAAGGATGATGCACAAAGTCATAATGTTGGTGGGTCAAAACGCAAGTAACCTTAAAACTTCTTTAGGCAGCGAACATGCTGCAAACGTGAGGAATTCAAATAAAAATATTTAAGTGTAACTTGTAACTAGCCGGATTCTATTTCTGACCTTATTAGGTGGTTGGAGATCCGCATAAGTTTATTTTACACTAATGGTCAACCGTATGTAACAAGTCTGACGGGTTTCGTAGGTTTTGATCATGATATCGCCGCTATGTTTAACTTAGAAAGGAACGAAATCAGAGCGAACACGAACTAGCGAGGAAAGCACTTAGCGTCCACCTCCTTGATTTGCACTTTATGTTATCTGGTAAGTTAGCACATTTGCTTTTCCACAAAATTAATGCCTCAAAGTAAGCAGAGTTAAAGTAATGTTTTGTGATCGCATGGAAGCAATCCCACAAATTAAAACCTAACTTCCCGTCTCTGTGAGCCTCCCTTACTGAAGATTCGGCACCACCACCCCCTCCCCGTGGATGACGGGGACGATGAGCAGGTGCAATACATCGAGGGAGATTAAGGCGCCGTGAACGGCCGTGAATTTGAAAACCATTCCGCATACGAACTCTTTTTATCGGATTTCACCGAACGAACTTGGTCTCCGGGTCTGGAAATCTGTATTGATTGTTTACTTTTTCCATCTACTTCGTCGAGAAACATGTTTTCATGCGTTCCCTATTTTTTCTTGTATTTGCGACGGTACATATAACCAGTTTAAAACATAGGATGTAGTTTGTTTTTTTTTTGTAAGAATAAGATTCAATAAAATTGCAAATTAGTACCTGCATCAGTACAACACTGGGGCTTTTACTTGGTGTAGAAGACCCAGTTNTATGTTATCTGGTAAGTTAGCACATTTGCTTTTCCACAAAATTAATGCCTCAAAGTAAGCAGAGTTAAAGTAATGTTTTGTGATCGCATGGAAGCAATCCCAGAAATTCAAACCTAACTTCCCGTCTCTGTGAGCCTCCCTTACTGAAGATTCGGCACCACCACCCCCTCCCCGTGGATGACGGGGACGATGAGCAGGTGCAATACATCGAGGGAGATTAAGGCGCCGTGAACGGCCGTGAATTTGAAAACCATTCCGCATACGAACTCTTTTCATCGGATTTCACCGAACGAACTTGGTCTCCGGGTCTGAAAATCTGTATTGATTGTTTACTTTTTCCATCTACTTCGTCGAGAAACATGTTTTCATGCGTTCCCTATTTTTTCTTGTATTTGCGACGGTACATATAACCAGTTTAAAACATAGGATGTAGTTTGTTTTTTTTTTGTAAAGAATAAGATTCAATAAAATTGCAAATTAGTACCTGCATCAGTACAACACTGGGGCTTTTACTTGGTGTAGAAGACCCAGTTGACGTAAAAGAATAGAGAACAAAAAGACAAAAGAACAAAAAAAAAAACAATGAAAAACGGGAGGGTGAAGAAGCGGTGGTCAAATGTGACGTGTTCTGTGTCCTCTATACCAAGGAGGAGCCAAAATTGGAACCCTTTAACGACATTCCCTGGTCTTTTTCCTTTCCCAATTTCGAGGGAAAAAGTACTGAAAATAGGGATAATGAACCCCGCCTAATGGTGTTTTGTATCAACGGAATCATATAAACCCTTTCAATAGACCCTTTCAGACATTCGTATGAGTAGCAGAGACTGTCGAACCAAGCCTCATGAAAGTATAACCTCAATTTTACGCTATTCACAGGGATATGCAAGGAGTCAAAGACTAGTCATCTCCAGTCCTCAGAAAATCTTAGCTGCATGTCCTTCAATCTAGCGGTTTTTCGTTCCAACCGACAGCTTGGCTTTTAATGAGTAAAGGAATTTGTTTAAAAAAAAACTTTAACATTTCTAGCTCCTTTGCACTTTAGGGATTTTTCACCAGAAGAACATGCTTTTTCCTCCTTTCCATGAAAAAAAACGCCGTTACGAAAACAAAACACTGTATTGATTTCCTTTATTTCTCAGTCATATTGGTTGCCAGACAAAATAAAATTGAGAGAACAGTCATATCAATGATCCCTCTTCTAAAGTCTTAGACCAAAACATTCAGGTACATTTTCCACCGTAATTAACAAATGGTAAACTCCACAGCGCACACTATTGAGTTATGGATGCACGCGGGAGGTTGCTAAGCACGAAAGAAGCGTAAGAGTCGCTCTCGGCGATATTTGCTCACGTCAGCAGCGCACACCCATGGGCAAATGGGGGACGCTAAATTGACCAATCGGAGCGCGCGCTTTACATTGGTTATGTTATAAAAGTAGTTATTGTAAAATACCGTGCAAGAGAGAACCAATAAAAAAAGTTATCAATTTTCAATATGAATTAGTCACCATTTTCAATGACACTGAAAATAGTGCCCATATTATGTGGACCAATATGTACTTATCTATCAAAATCTTGTCGTGTNAACATAACCATCATTCAGATTTTCAGTTCTTGAAGTCAGTTCTGATGCAGTTAATGACTGCACGCTATGTAACTGATCACGGGCATAACCCGGCATAACAGACTCAAAGATATTAGTCACAAAGAAAAAATGTAATTACACTACGTTTTTACTAAGACGATTGCTAAAGAGGAGACCCCACTCATAAGCGACTGATTCATCAAAGGAGTTCTGCCCTATTCCACTTGAACACAAAAAAAACTGGACATATGTCAGAGTATAGTACAGGATTTAAGAGACTTTAAGAGTCCTCTATGTGGGACACAATTTATGACGACCCGTTACTCTGACCCTCGGCTTCCGCTAGTCGCTTCTTCACATCTTCCAATTCCTTTCTGGTACTGCAGAACGCAAGGCAAATAAAACAAATTAACCGGAAATTCGGGAAACTGTCGAGCGGGAGGAGTTGGAGGAAGATTTCTTGAAAAATGGGGTGAGCTCAAGGTAAGAAGGTACAAGTGGTTTGTCTTTGTTTAGCTTCGAGACACGACAAGACTTATTGATTTCACAGAGGGTGATCAAGTTTTTATATTAAGTAGCTGCTGTTTACGAACATAATTTTTACCACACCCATAGAAGAAACATGGAATGAACGGAAATGAAAGTTACCCTGGGTGGGGAGTCACATGGCGGACGTGTTTATATAATTAATTCTCTAGAGCTTTCAAATTTAAAGCATTCTTACAAAACGCCAAAGCATCCACGACAGCAAAGTTGTTTACCTTGTAAGATCGTCGTCGTTCTCATCCAATATTTTCTTTTGCATGTCCTCGCACTTTTCAAGGTAAATCCTGGCTCGCTCAAATTCTTCCTTCATTTTATGAATCATTCCAAGGTCAAAAAGCGACTTGGCGGTGTCACGATGGTTTTTCAGTTGCTTTTGCCGGATTTCCAACGCTTCTTTCGAACATCGTTCAGCGTCGTTGTATTTGCCCAAGGCGCAATAATTGCTTGACAGACTGTTGAGGATGGTTGCAGTGAACGGATGCTCCCCCAGTTTTTCCATGTAAATTTCCAGGGTCTGCTTTCGGACCTCTATTGCCAGCTGATGATCTCCTTCCAGTGAAAGGATTACTGAAAAAGGCGAATCACAGTTTTATTACTGTATTTGTCGAGCATGCTCAACATTCAAGTGATGATAAAGATACAATAATTCAACTTAGGCCCTTTCCGGATGCTATGAAGATAATCAAGACAGGATACTGGATTGATCATAGATCTTTTAAATAAAGTATAGCCTTGAAGCGCCTAAATCTCGGCTTCAAAGTTGTATACATAAGAATTCATGTAAAGGATTTACTTCATCTGGTAGTTGATTACAAACAAGAGGATTACACTTACTGATTTGTCTCGAAGTGTACCCTCTCCCTCAGTGTTCTAAACATCTTGTCGAAGACTGGAGTATTTTACGAACGCTTTTCAGTTAAAGCTTGATCATGAATGAAGGAATTTCTGAGTCATAACGAAAGATTTGGATGCTGCACTTACCTGCCTTATCATTGTACGTTGCACCAAGCATGACTTTGTCATCCTCTCCTTGATCCAATCGAATTTTGATCGCCTGTCGGACTTTTTTTTTCGCCTCATCGAAGTTGTATTCTATGGCGAGACATTGAGCAAGTTTGGAAAGACACTGAGCTCGGCTGTTACCGGTGTTAATTCCAAGATTACGCTGGATTTGGTCAGCTTTCGTCAAATATGCTTTGGCTATTTGAGCGGCTACAGCGCGCAGACTAGTTGGATGACGGGAACCTCTGAATACTTCTTCGATCCCCAAGGATGTGAGGCAATCGCTCAGTCTTTTCTGATCTGCCCTCTGTTCGCATCTTCTTTGTAAAGATTCAAAAGTATATTTAAATTTATCCTTTCCCATCATATTTGCCAGAAGCTCTGCCACATTGTTGAAGACATCAATGCATCTTTCTGTTTGTTCTTCATCCATTTGACCATTGTTACACCATTCGACGAGCTGCAAGACATTCCCTTCATCCATCTGAAAGGCAGCAATCGCTTCTGACACGTTCTGGCTCAAGAACTTTTTGAAGGTGTCTCCCAGAAAGGTTAAAAAATGGCTGATGAACATCCTCCGAGCATCAAGGATCACTTCACGAAACTTAAGTTCCATTGCCCTAGTTTCACAATAATCACGAACTACTCGAATGAGGGTATAGAAGTAGTCCTCCCCAATGATGCCGCGTTCTTCTAGCAGTGATAGCCGGGACAGTTCTAGTCCACATTGTCTGAGCTCAGACACACTCGTCTTCGTTGATCGAAAAATTTTCGCTGCTTCTTGTAGAGTAAAAGGCCTGCGGAATAGTGCAAAGCTGATAAGGGCACACTTTTCTTTCTGATTAAGCCTCCCAAAGCAGTGATCGATGCAACCGGCGATCTTTTTATCCGCTGGTACCGTTTGAATCTTTCTCAAGAGTTCGAATTTTCGTCGAGGTGTAGAACACACCTGTTCCAAGAGACTTTGCAGGTCACTATGGGAAGAGGCCAGGGTCAAAAGGACCAAGGGTATACCGCTGCAAATCTGTGACAACTCATGCGCTTGAGTTGTGTTGACTTGCTCAACTTTCCACACTTTTTTCAAAAGCTCAACGGATTCTTCCGGCTTAAAGGACGACAGACTAAGCATTTCTTGACCTGCTTCCGGAAAAGAAACTTTCTCTGAAGAGGTGAGGAGAAGCTTGACTTTTCCTGCAACCTTTAAAATTTCATTGATTAGATTCTTTATCTTCGATCCTTCCTCAGATGGGTTCATCCGTTGGAGTGACAGTTCATTTCCAGAGGGCTGCATTCTGTCATCCAAATGAAGCAGAAACTCAAAACTATCCAGGAACAAAATCGTGGAGAAATCTTGGCTTTTCAAACGATTTTTCAGCTCAGCTACTGGATCTTCGACAGGATAGTGATATACTTCCTGAAGAACTTTCGACGCAAAATCATGGTATAGTTTTATGTCTCCACAGTTAACGTAGATAACCATCGTAAGTCCGTCAGAATTCAGTATTTCGTTTGCCACTTTCATCGCCACGGTTGTCTTCCCCATGCCTGTGGCACCGTGTATGAGAAGGCATCTGCAATTGTGCAGTGGAGAAAGGTAATCTTTGATTTTTTGGCATTCTTTTTCGCGATTGACGAAATGTGGTACCGTATGGGGGAGAAGAGACCAATTTCTACGGATTCCTGCAAATCAATGCAAAATATTACAATGGAAAATGAGTTAAGTCTTTCAGAGACATAACGCAATTCCATAAACAGAAAAGGGCAATCAAGAGAAACAGCAACAAAAGGAGAAAATACCTGCTGAGATAAACGTTTCCTCAATTGGTTTTGGTGAATCACCTGAAACCAGAAACCATAGGAGAAATTACGTAATCAAATAAAGCAACAGCTACTCAACCTGTCTTCTTATTCTTTCACTACATATTCTCGTTATTCTTCCTTACTCTCATCTTGCCTGTTTTGTCATATCCCTCATCATGGGGAGAAGACGTTCTTCTCTTTTCACATCCATTTTCTACGACATCACACTCTTTTCTCATCTTTTTACCTTTTCCGCAACTTGAAAGTCAGCTATCAGTCATTCTTTTGCCGACTATTTTCATTTTCCATTGCAAAACATTGCAATGGAAAATAAATAAATCTCACAGAGACATAGCGCAATTTCCATAAACAGAAAAGGATGAACAGGAGAAACAGAAGCAAAAGAAGAAAATAACTGCGAAAGTGTCCTCAACTGGTTTTGGTGATTGAGATACCTGAAACTAGAAACTAGAGGAGATGTTATGTCATCAAATAAAGCAACAGCCACTCAAGCTGTCTTCCTGTTCTCTCACTACAGATTCTTCTTCTTAAACTGCAAAAATTTATAGCTAAAAAGCTCGTTGGTTTGTTTGTGCTAAAACATTAAAGTCTAAAATGCTATAAAATTAAACTATGTAGTGAATATATACAGTAACAAAATTAACCCTTTTGTTCCCAAGATCTCATTTTATTAGTAAATTCAATTCTCATTACTTTTCACCAAGCAATTTCCTTGATGTTACAAGTAACTTCAACAATTTGGTCATGGATCAACTAATAATTCCCTAGTTGATGTTTTCTTTATTCTCATCACTTGTCTGCTAGATGGGATAAGAGAAATTCTGTATTGGTCCACCATGCTAGTTAAAGTCTATAGTGTATATCCTTTCTATGAAATTGTGGAAAAAAATTTGAAATTGTCCAAATTCTACAATATCAAGAAAAGTCATCAAAAATATCATGAGTGTCTTTTTGGATCATTACTGAGACCAGTTTCACAGAATCAATTGAAATAAATACACAATTTCACAGTTCCATGGTACAGACAAATGAACACTTCCTTCATGAAAGGTGTTTAAAACGACTCAATAAATCCGCGGTTAAACTCAACGTTTTACTTTATTTTGACTAAGAACTAAACCTCCACGGCGAATGCTCGATCTACACAAGGCAAAAACTCGAACGAAGTAAGAGAACTTGACATTTGCTCCCTTTCACTCATTTTAAAAATACCATAAATGTAACGCAACGTCACGTTCTCCTGTACAAAAGGGGTAACGAGACAAAACAAATTTGAACAGAATTTTGTCCAAGGGACAACACTTTACAATAGCTGAAAGCATTTAAATGCATTTTTTGTTTTTTCATTTCCTCATAAAAAAGTGCATATAAGTAAAGCTGATGGAATTTCCCATTCACCTTTCATAGTTTCTAGTAGTTCTTCTCCTTCTTTTTCATGATGAATGGAGGACATTTCAAGAATGGGTGAAGTACCTAAGAGGACATGTACACAGAGCAATTATAAATAAAGCATCCTTCAAATCAGTTTAAAAGTTGACAACAGAGGTTAATGTAACATGTTACCAAATTGAATAAT